ACAGATGTGTAGTAATTAGTTCTATTCCCAGTGAGCCTATTTCCAACACACTAAAGATGTGAGCGATTACGGAACCTCACCCCAACAGCTTTTATCAATTTAAACTGCTAAACAACAGGATAGGTCATAACCCAGCCTGCTATTAATAATGTATTTATTATGTGCAACATTATAAATTAGGTGTATGGACTAGAAAAAAGGACACTTTTTAACAATAATAATATGATCTTCCCCCAGAAGCATCATATGTGCCTGGCCACTCACCTGATGTACAGTCCCAAGGCAATCAAAAGAATAAAAAATCTCATCCGAGGAACAGAGGCCTACATCGTCAGCGGGCTCCTCCACAGAGATGATTTAGCTGTGGCCGATATGTTAGACATACCCATCCTGGGCTCTGAGCCTGAACTAGCTCATCTTTATAGTACCAAATCTGGAGGTAAACGTGTCTTTGACAGTGCCAATGTGGCAGTTCCTCCTGGAATAGATGACATTTATAGTCAGCAACAGGTATGTGGGGTGGACAAGTGAAGCTCTGTTCAAATATTTGAAACATCCTCTTGATCTTGGACAACTTCCAAGTCTTCTGGAGCCAGCTCTACCCAATGAAGGATAGGTGGAATAGTTGAGTTGATTTGAGGGAATCTATTTTATTTATTTATTTCTGAGATGGAGTCTCACTCTGTCATCCAGGCTGGAGTGCAGTGGTGTGATCTGGGCTCACTGCAACCTCCACCTCCCGGGTTCAGTGATTTCCGGCTAATTTTTGTATTTTTAGTAGAGATGGGGTTTCACCATGTTGACCAGGCTGGTCTCGAACTCCTGACCTCTAGTGATCTGCCCACCTCAGCCTCCCAAAGTGCTGGGATTGCCAGCGTGAAGAACTACGCCCGGCCTCAGGGAATCTACTTTAGAACTTCGTGTTTTAAAGTATTTTCCTGTTAGTCTTGCAGAAATTGCTGGAATTTCCAAACCCTTTACTCATTTGGAATAAGCACTGTTAAAATGTATATATCATTTGGACTAATCTGCTATCAATGTTTAATGCTTTAACATGGATTAATTCATCATCATATCAGCCAGTCATTAAATAGGATCCTAAGAAATAGGAGAGTCAGTTTTCGCTAAAAGCAGTGGGTTTGGAAAACTCCAGTGAGTGATCCTCCCCACTGGGTCAGATTGCAGAGGGCCTGTGAACAGAGGGCTGCAGACTTCCTTCGCTCTTCAGGAAGCGATCTAAAGGGAGGAGGGGAAAGATCTCAGAAAGGGGAAGTAAGGCAGCTCCAGGAATAAAACTGGGGAAGTAAGACAGCTCCAGGAATAAAACTATCTGTTTTTGGTTTTGCCTTGGACCAAGTGTGTGGCTATGCATTCTTCCAGCAGATAGTCAGGGCCTAAAACATTAGGAGAAATGTATTAGCCACTAGAAACGTTTTCTCTTTGAGTTAGCCCTGGCAGGTGTTCTTCCATTTAACTGCCATCTGTTTTCATAATAGAGAAAATTAAAAGACAAATGGCTGTTAACATTTCCTAACCTCTGTTTCAGTACACCTCTTGACCATTACTCTGAGCCAATTATCCCCCCTACCCACTTCTTGGGAAACCAGAGAACCGTGCACAATGAGTCAGTTTGTGAGGGACGATATTTAGGGATCCCCTCCTACTCTCAGTTGCCTGATCGTGATGCTCTGCACCTCACAGCCACTGAGCTAAAAAATCTAGCCTTTCAACAAATCATACTTTGCAGAGATTAGTTTGAAGATACTATTAGCTTATTAAATTGCCCACAAGTATTTCACTCTTGCTAGAGTATTCTTGGGCAATTTTCATGGGCTCATGAAGGAGGTTTCTCTTAACGGTATCACAACCTAGGAAAGTCGCAGGCAATTTTAGCAGGAGTGGAACAGAGAGGCTCCCCCTGAGCTGTTATATCACTTCCATTGTCATTAGCCACCACTGGAATTTGAAGATAACAAGGCATATTGCTTGACTCTGCTTCCCAGCAGAATATCTATCTGGCTGTTACACTTATTACAAGCGAAATACATTTTTAAATGATACTATTGCACACATGCACTATACATTAAACAACCTTCAAAACTTTAACATGTATGTGCAATATTTATATTGAGTCTTGCCTTCATCTTCACTGAGAAAATCTCAGGCAATCTTTGCTATGAAATATTTCAGAACTGCGTATGTTGATTATAGTTAAAGATGCAGGCACATTTAATGCAGTAAAATCTCCCTCTAGTGCTAGTATTCAGAAGTATGACTAAAAACCTCCTTAGAGACATACCAGATTTGAGAGATGTCATTTGACCTATGGTATGTGCAAATTGTATAACAATAAACCAATATTTCACCTGAGTTCTACTCTGCTTGTTTGGAAAACATACATCTGAGGTCATCAAGAATTAAAATACTCCACTGAGATTTTTCCAGATAGTGACTACCCTACCTAATCTATCTGAGCATGTCAGCATTTTGAATCTACAGATGGGGATGAATCAATAACACCGACTTTTTACCGATATGCATCATAAACTTAAAGCTGGTGAAAGAAAGCTGCAATTATTTTAACTTAGGTTATTAAGTATTTCTGACTTTCAGTTGGACTTTAGCAGTAATTATTTTTCTGCTCTTTACCAGGATAAAACGAATCACAGCTAAAAAAATTTATTACATCCTTTGAACAGATAGACTGAAACAGAAAAATGATATTTAGAAATACCATGAAGTCATTTTGTTTAGGATTAATTTGTTTAAATCTAGCATGAACACAGTGAGCATTTCCTGTTTTGATCCATAAAGTAACTATAAAAGTTCTCTTTCTGGAACATGCTCCATGGGAAATATTGACAGCTTTGGTTAAATAATCAAAAATGGCGATGCTATTTTAAAGCACTGTTCAATTTTCGCTTAAAGATAGCACATAATTCTTTCCAGTGGTGCAGTCTTTACAATACTATTGATCCTTTTCATTACTGTAGGGGATCCATCAACAGATGCCCATTTATAGGATTCTCAGAAGCAACAAATAATAGGATTTGGAAGAAATAGATAATAATTCTGTTAGTAGTTGAGACCTCCAAATATATAATATATCTAAATATGCCATTTTAAAAAAATCTATGCCAGAACACCTTTACTAACACTAGCAAAAGAATTTTCTCTGATGTTAACAGGCCAAAGACCGTTTCTACTTCTGCAAAGTGTGATCATAATACAGCAAAATATGATTAAATGTAAAATCTATATTCTCAACACATTAGAGAAATAAGGAAACAACTTTGAAGGCACATTTTAAAAGCCTTCCTAGGCTGTGCTCATCACCATATGGTTTGTAGACCGGAGTTCTGTCATTTAAACACCCAAATTATCAATACAAACTACTTGATAATTAGGGAGCTACGATAATTTTAATTTTCACCCTCACTGAATACCCCATAGTTGTATGAGGTTTCCAGAGAACCCAAGTATGGCCATTTTGCTATCTCTTCCACACTGCCGTGTAGTATAGTATCCCCAGGAAGATGTGCTGGACAGATACAACCCAGAAGAACAGATCAGGCCTTTAATCAAAAACTTTAATCTGATAGCTCCAAACCTCAACAGAACTGTAAACCATGAGTCCTTTCACACTCTTTAGTTTAAAAAAAAAAAATTGTGGGCAAAGAGAACTGATCAAAAAAGAGGATCAGAGTGTCACAGAGTCCTTCCGTACAGAAAACCACAGCCAAGAACGGCATGGGAGGGCTCGCGAGACAAAATGCTTAGTGTTATTTTGTTGCTTTCTGGGAAGCATAGACTGGAAAGTCTGATAGGAAGACAAGACAGAAAAATCATTTTGTAATCTAATGAGGTATTTTTCTCCCAGGCTCTGCCAGGAGAGTATTACTTATAATTAAGTCATCTTGCTATAGACTTTTATCTGATTCAAACTCACCCCAAATGGCTTATTGACTGTCAGGAAAGTGGCTTCTATTGCTCCTCTTCTGACTTCACCCTTCTCCACCTCTCTGTGGGTTGGGATAGGCAGCACAGTGAAGAGGGAATGAGCATAGGTTTTGGAGTCAAAGCAACTTGAACGGAATTCCTACTCTGCTACTCAGTGCTGTGTGATTGTGGGCAAGTTATTTAAATTAGCGGAACCTCAGTTTATTTACATATAAAAGAAAACTAATAATTGAGTCCACCTCATAGATTATTGCATTAAATGAGAAAATTCATGCACAGAACTGAGATGAGCCAAAGGCCTGTCTCCTACTGAGAGTTCAGTTATCTTAGAGATCATCATCATCATTATTCTGATACTTGAGCTTGGAGTACTGTTCTGTCCCTTAAACTCCCATGTGTTTGAGCCCAGTTCTTGAGGAAATGTTTCAAATAAAATGGCAAGTAGGTGTGTATTCCAGGAAGGTTGCTTTCACAAATGTTTTATCACCTTTATCTGTCGTCTTCTATAATATACTTGTTTATATCACACATATACTAAACTCGGCCAATTGGCCAGCCAAACAAATGTATTTCTTGTACATTAATGAGGAAAAAATTAAATGTTTTATAGTTTATAGCAGTGAAAAGCTCAACAAATCCCCAGTTAAAGTTTTCAAGACTATAACTCTTTATAGTCTTGAAACAATTAAAACATCATTTGAGGAATCAATAAGTAAATGCATAATTCTCCGAAAAAGAAAGAAAACAATATCAAGATTCAATTACAGGTATTCAGGGATTGTTTCTTTTGCCTTCAAAAGCCAGCAAAATGATAATTTCAGAATTTCTCATAATAAGACTTGCTTTTAAACATGTCTTTGGTGTCACTGGTTAATGGTTTCTTCACATCATATTTATATCCCTTTAAACTTCTTTAATCTGTCTTAATAACTAGAAGATAACCAAATGAACTGACCATTAGAAGTAAAGACACATGAGAAGTACAGCGGAATCCCAGGAAATGAACTGTATTAAATGTAGCTGTGTCTTCGGCCCCACAGATGATAGAGCAGCTGAGTCAGCTGATAACTGATCACCTGCAAATACAGCGCTGGCTCTTTAAAATGGACTCTGAGTTCCGAGGAAATGGGACTGCATTTTGTGATATTCCTTCCTACCTAAAGTGCTACAAATGGGTGCTCAAGGAGAGTAGCAGATATGGCCTTGAAGACTGGAGAAAGAAATGGGCACAAGTGAGTATTCAATGGTGACTTAAACCCGCAGTGTCTGCGAACAGTTAGGGGATGAAGCAAAAAGTTCAGCTAAGAGATGAAAGTACTTTCCTCTCTACTTAGCTCTGTCACCTGCCAGCAGTGCCTTTCTTGGGACCTTTTTCCTTATATACACAATGAATGGGGATTGACTGAGTTCTTTTCTTTTTTTTTCTTTTTTTTGAGATGGGGCCTCACTTTGTTGCCCAGGCTGGAGTGCAGTGGTAAAATCAGGGCTCACTGTAACCTCTGCCTCCCTGGCTCAAGCGATCCTTCCACCTCAGCCTTCTGAGTAGAGGGGACTACAGGCATGCGCCACCACGCCTGGCTAATTTTTTCTGTGTGTGTGTGTGTTTTTTTTTTTTTTTTATTGAGACAGGGAGGGTCTCCTTATGTTGCTCAGGCTGGTCTCGAACTCCTGAGCTCAAGCAATATGCCTATCTCAGCCTCCCAAAGTGCTGGGATTACAAGTATGAATCACAGTTTGGGTTATTTTCAGTGTTTCTTCTCTGGGCCCTAAAAGTCCTCATTCACATCTTGAAATTGATTATGATAATTAGGAAGTAATTTTTTATCACATTCAGGTAACATTACAAATCTTATAATTTGCCCTAAGTGGTTCTTGATCATGTGCTTCTAACAACTGTTGTTATTAAGCTAGCTGTATTTTATTATGAGATAGAAATTCTATTAGTGAATGGTTGTCACCTGGAAGCGAATGTATAATAGCATTCTGTCAGCAGTCATATGTTTTTGAAGACAATTCAAGGAAATTTATGTAACTGCTGATCCCTGTGAGACGCTGAGAAAATAGTACATTCCAGCCAGAAAATCTCCCAGCAAAAGCTGAGCTGTAGGTAAGAAGTCTTAGCATGAATGGACGTGTATAGATTTTTTGCATGCACATTTGTGAAGGGATGAATTGTACAACCTTTTAGTCCATTCCAAATTTGCTTAATTAAACTAATTTTATATGGTTTAATATATAAATTAAACCTGCCATTCTAAAACTATCCTGCTATGCATCCAGAAATCCCCAGACTTGCCTGACTTCTCTTAATCCCAAATCTCTGTTTTGGCTGACCTGCTGGTTGAGGCATAACCGATTAGGAAAATCTCAACACAAATTCCCTTAACTGGTTCCTTCCCTACCAGCATACATAGCAGTGGGCTGTGCAAAGTGATTTGCGTCTGCTTTGCGCATCCCACTACGGAACTATATGAATCAAGACACAAGTGATAGAGAGGGAGGGGCACACTGGAGGGAACCACATTATTCTTGGAAAGTGGAGTGATGAATAAATCTAGAGAACAGTCAGGAGAGAGAGTTCCCTTTGACAAATGTGACTGGTTTCCCCATGATCTATTCTGGGCTTCGTTCCTCCCTTCCATCAGTAAATGGACTAAATGCAGTACCTGTCATGGCCAGCTTTTTACATATTATTTAAAGGATACTAAAATGAATTACTCTTCTAGATAAATATAAAACAAAGAAAATGTATTTAATTTTGAGGCCCATAGAGATTTCCTTTATATTCTCTTTGAACTAGATTTTATTTCATATTGTATAGTTTTTTTTTTAAAGCAACATTGTTAAGATGAAACCATAAAAATATGGCTTTTTTATTTAAAACATTGAAGTGTTAATGTGCAAAGTATGTGTTGGCTTCAGTATTTCAAACCAATAATTTTTAAAGAATTCTGTTGACATTAGACTATGATAAATTTGAAATGTTTGACTTTAAAAAATATTTTAAATACTGACATTTGGCTGCATTTAGAAGCCTCACTGTGCATTATTTAAATTTCAGTTATTTTAAACCGTAGCATTTTTAATTGGCACCAAATACATTTGGCACTGTTGTTAATGTTATTAAATGGAAAGCTCTTGAATAATTAATAATCTATCTAAATCATTTTTTAAAACTTAACAAGAAAAATATAATTATTTGGAAATCTCTTTACAGTCTGAAGCCAGTGCTTAGCCATGATCTGAAGCCAAAAATAAAAATAAAGTAGTTCTGAAAAGGTGCCTCTTTTTTTTTTTTTTGTAGGAGCCTATTGACATTCTTTTGCCTTCAAAGTGAAATCATATTCGGAGTGGAGGTGAGCTGCAGCCTCCACTGAGTGTAGCTATTGAGAATTTAGGATTAGAATTCTCCTTTGTTCCAGAAGACCATCGTAATGGTGCACATTTAGACATCAAAGCATTACTTTACGAGCACAGGCATGTTTTAATGTCCTATTACAGTTTGTAGACCTGTTTCTTTTGATAATGAAGATGTTGTGTCATCAAGCCTAGCCTGGCACATACAAAACATATGCTGGCAGGTTATTAAAAATTTCAGCTTCTTGATGAAAGACTATCCTGCAGGCTAAGAGTCCAGAGAAAGACTCCATTCTGGGAGAATTATTAGAAATGAGAATATGACTGTAAGCACTAAATTATGTTAATACTTACAAATAGCATCATTTGCATAGCAGTTTATGATACGATACCATGATTTTTCTCATTGGTATGTTGTAGGCAACAGATTAAAAACAGTGCTGTTTATGGAAGTTTGAACTCTTGAGATTCTCTTTCATCTTATGCAGATACTGGTTTTAGATGTAGACAGGATTCAGTGTAGACTCAAGTGTCTAGTATAAAGATCAGCCAGGCCAGGCGCAGTGGCTCACGCCTGTAATCCCAGCACTTTGGGAGCCAGAGGCAGGTGGATCCTGAGGTCAGGAATCCTGGCTAACATGGTGAAACTCCATCTCTACTGGAAAAATACAAAAAAATTAGCCAGGCATGGTGGCAGGTGCCTGTAGTCCCAGCTACTTGGGAGGCTGAGGCAGGAGAATGGCATGAACCTGGGAGGCGCAGCTTGCAGTGAGCCAAGATGGCGCCACTGCATGCCAGCCTAGGCGACAGAGCGAGATTCTGTCTCAAAAAAAAAAAAGAAAAGATCATCTGGCTAGGCGTGGTGGCTCATGCCTGTAATCTTAGCACTCTGGGAGGCCAAGACGGATGGATCACCTGAGGTCAGGAGTTCGAGGCCAGCCTGGCCAACATAGTGAAACGTCTCTACTAAAGATACAAAAAAATTAGTCGGTGGTGGTGGTGCACACCTGTAGTCCCAGCTACTCAGGAGGCTGAGGCAGAAGAATTGCTTGAATCCGGGAGACGGAGGTTGCAGTGAGCCGAGATCACACCACTGCACTCCAGCCTAGGCGACAGAGTGAGACACTATCTCAAAAAAAAAGAGTCATCTCTTTTTTCACTATGTAATTTGGAACCAGAGTTATCTGGCTGGTTATAGTTGAGAATTAAAATAGTCCTGAAGTCAGCAGATGCTGAAAAGTTGTAGTCACCATTAAAAAAAAAATCAGTAGAGACATGTAGGTGATTTTTAGGAAAAGCAGAATGTTACATGATGGCCAAAATGGAAACAGAACACAACTCTATCATTTTTTCTCGGTGACTTGGTACCAAGCCTATTCTCTTCATCCTACCAGCTAACAAAACCTACTTCCCCCAACAAGTTCCAGTAAACTCATTCACTTAAGTACTCTGCTCGTTAAGTTTTAATGAATCCACACTCTTGCACACACTCCAAACTCCCTGTTCCCCAGTTGGGGGTATTTATTTCCATTTAGGAGGAATAAAGGCTTAAACAAAGGAAGGCAAACATGTAGGAGAGAAACATTCCTGGGTAAACTCACCTAAGACAGTCTAGGGAGACCCAGGCAGACATTTACTGTGGGTACCAGTCCTTGGGGCTTTTTTTTTGTTTTTTTCTTTATGGGTGTTTTCCTTTCCTCAATTCCTGGGTCATTGGCTTAGTGGCAGTGATGCTACTGGTGACACTGCTTTGCAAGAGATCTTTGTAGAATAATTTCTGTGTGTAGAGAACTACGCCAGTTCACTTTCAAGTTTCTCTGTGTAGCCCTTCGTTGGGCCTCTGTTACCCTGGAGATTCTGGGATGTGGTCTTGGCATTACTGTTTTACCACTTAATGAGAAAAAGGAAATTGAACTGGCTCTTGAATGCTTCTAGTAAACATTGCTATTTTAGCCCTTTGCAAGAGCAGTTTTACCTTTATTTGTACTTTGGTTTACTTTGTTTGACATTTGATACTAATTTGGGGATCACCAATGGAGGAAAAAAACTAATTAGATTTTTTTTTTTTTTTTTTTTTGAGGTGGAGTCTCACTCTGTCGCCCAGGCTGGAGTGCAGTGGCACGATCTCGGCTCACTGCAAGCTCTGCCTCCCGGGTTCAAGCGATTCTCCTGCCTCAGCCTCCCGAGTAGCTGGGACTATGGGCGCCCGCCACCACGCCCAGCTAATTTTTTTGTATTTTTAGTAGAGACGGGGTTTCACCGTGTTAGCCAGGATGGTCTCGATCTCCTGACCTCGTGATCCGCCCGCCTAGGCCTCCCAAAGTGCTGGGATTACAGGCGTGAGCCACCGTGCCCGGCCCTAATTAGACATTTTATATTAATTTAGGGATCACAAAGGTAAGAGAAGAACTATGCCTAGAAAAGGTAGAATAAACTATAGTTGTTTTGCCTCCTTTTAGAACTAAGGCAGCAAACAGAAAACACAATTACAAAAGAGAATCATTAACCATTTCATGGCATAGAACTCCCTGCATCTCCACCTCCATTGTGAAGACCTCTGTCCATTCAGAATGGCCCTGGAACTAGGTCATAGGAGCCATTGCAGGATGGCAGAGCTCGTTGTCCCGTGTGGAATTTAGTAGGTATTTATTAGGTGATCCCAAAGAGCCACTGCTTGTAATCGCATCATTTTTAGAAAAGTTTAAATATAACAAGATTTAAAAACTATTTAACCAAATAAGTACATAATCATTTCCCCAAACATAGTTGTTTTCATTTTTGTGTATTGATTTCTAAATATGCAGTATTTCTTTCTCATAGCTACAATAATAGTGTATATGCTAGTTAAACATCAGATCTTAAATATTCTCCATGT